ACAGCAAAACAAGAACAATAGGTGAATACTGCAAATCTTGGACAGAAGAGCTTTGACAGAGATCATGAGTAGCATGAACACACAGACGACAGGCCAAGCACCTGAGCACAGCCCCTCAGGACACACCACCATCCCTTGCAAGACAAGGACAGCATTCCCCATAGGTGTCACTTTTGGTGTGGAAGCTGAAACAATTTCAGAACAAGCAGCAAATATGGAAAGACAGGTAAATTTGGCTACATAAGCTTTAAACTTTTTTTTTGGCTGATCTTGGGACTTGAACTCAGGGCCTAGGCACTGTTCTTGAGCTTCTTTTGCTCAAGGCTAGCACTCTATCCCTTGAGCCATAGTGCCACTTCTGGCTTTTTCTATTTATGTGGTACTGAGGAATTGAACCCAGGGCTTTATGCATGTTAGGCAAGCACTCTACCACTAAGCCACATTCCTAGCCCTAAGCTTTAAGCTTTTTTTGTATATCCCTTGTATATTCATAAATGAAGCAAAAAGACAAATAGGTTTAAAAAATCTGCAACACATGACAGTTTTTAAGTATTGCATATTTTTTAAAACTTAATATGCAGCCAGCCTGACACCTGTAATCCTAGCTACTCAGAGGGCTGAGATCTAAGGACCATGGTTCAAAGCCAGCCTAATCAGGAAAGCTTGTTTCCAATAAAGTACTCAAAAAAAAAAAAGCAGCTAGAAGTAGAGCTATGGCTCAAGTGGTAGACTGCTAGTCTTGAGGAAAAGAAGCTCAGGACAGTGCCCAGCACACACACACACACACACACACACACACACACACACACACACACACACACACACACACACACTGAAAAAAGACCAACATTCCAATTGAGTCACAGAAACGCAAACATCAAGCAGTCACTGGTGTCTCACATCTATAATCCTAGCTATTTGGGATACTGATTGAGAGGATCACAGTTCAAGACAAGCCTAGGCAGCAAAGTTTGAGACCCCTTCTCAGCCCACAGCTGGTGCAGTAGCATGCATCTGTCATTCCAAACTCTGTAGAAGGTAGAGATCAGGAACATCACAGTTCCAGGCCAGTCTGGGCAGAAAACTCTTCGATACTCCATCTCCAGAGAGAAATAGTGGATCCCATCTTTGATCCTAGCAATGACAGGAAGTCTAAAGGTAGGCAAATCACAGCTCATGCACATGTTTGGGTGAAAAGTGAGATCTTTTCCAAAAATAACCAGTAAAAACAGTAGTGGAGATATGGCTTAAATAGTAGAGTGCCAGCCTAGCAAGCATAGATTCTGAGTTTAAAAAAAAAGAAACATTGAGAACTAGGGAAAAAATAAATTCTCACCAACGGTTGCTGTTACAGTTAAATCAACTGGAGACCTTGAGTGTCAAAAAAAGAAACAAATATAAGTAAAAATATACAAGATGTTTGATGTTCATGAAGAAATGGAGACTGAACAAGATGCACCAATGAGGGAGAAGAAGCACCTGCTCCAGGTAGTAACTTAACTTTCTGGGACTATCATGAAATGTTAATTCAGAAAATTAAAAACCTATGGCTTATCCCCTGTTGTCACTGTATTTGATTTTGGTACCAGGGTATTGTATATACATTTATCTCAATTAGGGAAGGGAAGGGAAATAAAATGTTGAGACAAAGGACAAAAGGGGAACCAATACAACAGTGATACTCACAAGGCTGTTGGAAATGCTCTGTACAACTTGGAGGTGGAGAATTGGAGAGGGAAAGAAAGGGAGAAAAATTAGGGAGCAGTAGCAAGTTAGACAAGAAATGTAATTACTACCTTACATAACTGTAACCCCTCTGTGTACATTACCTTGAAAATAAAATTTAAAAAAGAAAATTAAAACATTTGAAAACACTGAAGTTATTATCACTGTACACTCCCATTGCCAAGAGTATACATATATTGCCATATGCCAGGCATGTAAGCCTAGACAACAATACAGAGATGCCTTATGCAGTCCTGGCAGTAACAAAGGAACAAACAATGAACCACATTTTAGCAAGTCAACAAAGGGCTAGGGAGATGATGTGATCCACATTTATGGACAGGAAGAAACACTTACTGTCATGGCACCTCACAGCTTTGCCATCTGGGAACCTACCATTGTTGTCCATGTGTTGCACATGTTGAAACTGAGGCTCAGAGAGGTCAAGCAACTTGCTCCAAGTAATGGGCCAGTGAGTGGCAGAATCTGGACTGCTGCTGTCTGCTGCTGTTGTCTAGGTTCTTAACCCCACATCCTGCTACCCCTCTGCTTCAAATTAAGTGAAAACGAGGTTATAAAGCATTAGTTTCTTGTAGTCCCAATCCTGTCCATACAGCACTCCAGCACTCAAAACAATGCCCAGTGATTGTGGTCCAGTCAAGTGCCAGCTGTACAACTAGTCCTTCCAACAAAAGGGAATGAATCAAACAAGACCAAGTTTAATATTATTGTCAGTTATTTATTATTTGTTAATCTAAAGACTAGCACATTTACAGCATACATGGCTCTGAATGAGCTAAGAATATATAAAACAGAAACTATATATTCATATATATTAATACTGCCCAAAACAAATAAATAAAAGTATTTTAAGACACTAACCTTGGCAAATACAGCTGTGTGTGGGAAACTGTACTATACAATATCTTTACATTTTTAAGGGGAATTACAGGCAGCTTGCTTCGGGAGCTCTGACAGAGCCCACATGGCCTTCCCAGCTGTCCACGCACCTCAGCTTTTCTTTACAAACGGTGGGACGTGCTGGAGGGAACCTTTACTTGACAGTAACCTGTACAACTGTCTTCTTGGTACAGCAAACAGCTTATCGAACCTCCATGCAGCCAGGAGGGGCCTGAGCCCTTATTGTGCCCAGTGCCCTGTGCCCTGTGCTGCATATAGGTCACAAAACCTTCCGAGAGAATACCGAAGCCTGAGTCTTTTCTGTGTGAGTAACCAAGTTCGAAGAAGAGTTTTATGGTGACATAATATGAAGCAAAAATTGGGAAAATAATTCATGTAAAGGTACTACATGCAAAACTGCTGTCACATGACTCAACATTTGCTAATATTCCCTTTATAAACAGAGTTAATGCTCTTTGGACAATAAGAAAATCAGAAAATAACGAGTGACATTTAATATTGAGGGTTTGTTTTGTTTTTTGTTTTGTTTTTTTTGATGCTGGTCCTGGGGCTTGAATTCAGAGCTTGAGCACTGTCCCTGAGGTTTTTCCTCAAGCCTAGCACTCTAGCACTTGAGCCACAGCTCCACTTCCAGCTTTTTTAAAGTAGTTCATTGGAAATAAGAGTTTCACAGACTTTCCTGCTAGGGCTAGCTTCAAATGGCCAACCTCAGATCTGAGCCTCTGGAGTAAATAGGATTATAGGTATGAGCCACCAGTGCCCAGCTGAGGAATCCTTTTTTAAAGCAGTGATGTCAAAATGAGAAAAGATGGAACTAAAAAATTACAAATCGAATGAAATGGGAGGGAGGGAAAGGGCTAACTCAGCATATTAAGGAAAAATAAAAATAACCTTTGAATAGGAGGAAAACCAGACACAAGCAGTCACCTGTGAGGAAGGACCTGGTGGATAAGAGTTCTCCACTGACTCTCCCCTGCCAGCTCTTTTAGGGAGGGACAGTAAACTGCAACCATCGGTTATTAAAGCAGGCCTTCCTCCTGGCAGGCATCAGGAGACAGCAGGCTGTTTACACACTGATTTCTGAATACCTGATGCCAGCCTTCTGTACCTGCCAAAAACTGGTCCTGCCTGTGCCTCAGCCCCAGGCAAAGTTCGTTACATTTCTAAAGGAACCAAAGAAAATGATCTAGACCTTTAGGTTTAAGAGTTTCCAAGGTGTTTACAAATCATCAATATGTGCCACATATATTTCTTTTACAGTCTTAATATGTAAACATCATGATAAACAGAATTGATAAGACATATAAACTCCTCTAAGAAAGAAAATTATACTATGCGCAGACAAGACTCAATTACCTCATAACAGATGACCAGACATAAGTTTCCTGGCCCATAAATCCCTTTCAAAATCTCATTTGAGAAGATAATTTCCACCATTTCTCAATAGTCATACAACAGCTGAGAAAAGTAACAATTATTGCAAACTTAAAAATAAGACACTTGCATCAGGCATTCAAACATGATTGTATTGTCTTTTAGAAGATCTAATGTAAATCTTGCAAAAGAACATTTGTTTTGAAATATTGTTTCAACTACTTCTACTATAAATTCTCCATCTGAGTCTTTTCTCTCAGAAGTTAGACATGCCATATTTCAGGTCCCTGCTGTAATTCAACATCCAGAAAAGGGAAGGATTCCCTGTGGGCATAGCCAGTTGTGAGCTAGCTAGATCATACCTGGCTTTGTCTAAGCTGACACCTTGTTCTGTAGCTCATGAGGGGCAAAATGAGTGGCCCCAGGTGTGTGAGCCCCTTTGCCAGTGACATCTCATAAAATCTTAGCTCATGGTGAAGCCCAGCTTTTCCTTCAACCTTGAGTTTCACAGGCAGCAGGTGTTGGGTGATTCATTAGAACCAGTTGTCTCACTGCATAAGACAGCTCCAGTTTGACTTAATATTTGTGGGTCTGCCTGGAATCTAACTAATGTATTACTGTTTTACATTCAGATTTTTAAAAAGGAGATTTTGAGTCAGTGCTCACTTTTGAGTTACTCTGTAGAAAAATAAGTTAGGTGAGTAGTGCCTATAGAAGCATTTGAAAAAGTCTTCTGGCATTTCAGACAAACCTAGCTGGATTCTTATCAGTAACTATTGATGCGAGCCATATAATTACAGCTGACTGCTAATTATATGGACAGTCGATGTTTTCCAAGTTATTGAGCCAAACATTACCTCTTATAACCTTCCAACAGGAAAAATAAAAACATGCTCCATAGATTATTTGGTGAAATATTTTTTTTAAATCACAAAAATGAAAGCAATCCTTCAGGTCTTCTTGAAGAATTCGTATGTGCACTAGAGGGTACCCACAATTATTATGTAACAGCTAATTAGAGGAAACCGTGTGTTCATGTTTCAACTTTTCCATAAGTCCCTTCGGGAGGCCTGTAATGCTTGGGGAAAGCCTTCAGCTGCAGGGAATTAAATGCATATTTGCGACTTCCAACATTCTTCATTGTATTTTCTCTTCGACAACCCTCACTGGGGAAAAAACAAGCACAAGAAATGACAGCAATAAAAAAGGAAAAAAGAAAAGACTTAAACTAAGATGAAATGAACTGATTATTTTCATAGCATTAGAAAAGACTGATTGACTTAAATGGGTGCTGAATTCACCACTTCAATGAATACAGACATAAGATGGCAGGCTTCTGAATGAGGCAAGGGAGAAGCACAGAGATGCGCACATGCGTGTGGGGCTGTGAGGTTGCGTTTCTGAAAGCTTTGTGGTATCTATGTGGAAGCAGGTTTTTTGTTTAAGTTAATGGTTTTTTTGTGCTTGTGGGCTGATTATTTGGGGTTCTATTGTAACTTGAGGTTCAATGGTTCTATTTACAGCAAATTTAATATGAAAACATTGCTACTCTTACCAAACACTTTAAAGAGCTGTACTTTCAGATATAAGCAAGCACTATAATCACGTCAAACTCAAAATGCTCATTTTGCTTGTCTGGCTCTCAAGGCTAATATGACACCCATCCCCAACTAGGAGACAGCTAGCTGGGTATAAAGCAATCCCATAGGCCTGTGCAGTCTGCCTCGCAAGGCATGACCTCACTGAGGTCTTTGGTGGTAGCCAGCTATCATTGTTCAAGTGGAAGTCACCTCTAAAGCAAATGCTACTGAACCAGAGAGCCCACTGGTGCTTTTCCCTGGGAGAGTCACTGCTAACAACATTCCTATTAAATTTGATTGAGAGTTGCCATGGCAACCTACTGGCAAAACAAATGATGCCCAAGAGGAAGAGCAGTAGACCTCACATCCCCAGTGAGAGTCTCAGGGAAGTTCTCTGAGAAATGTTCTGGGGTAGATATAAGACAGGGAAAAGCAATTTTCAATATAAATGCCTTCTCAAATCAAAGTATAACTTGATTTTTTCCTACTGTTCTAAGACCAGCAATGAAATCAAGTAGTTATTAAGTTCAGTATAAAATCCCCCATATGAGATGGAGAATTTGCAATCACCAAGAAATGGTGTTTTAAAAAAAATTCAATTTGTATCAAGACCATGTTATACATATAAAAAATCATTGGCAACTAACTGTTCACACCTTTGTAAGTGAAAATGACAGTCCCATTATAGCTTTTGGAAAGACAGTAATTCTTTTTAAAAGATAACCATAGGTATTTTAGAAAAGCATCCTCCTAGTTGCCATTAACCAATATATTGAGTTAAATATTTTCTTATCTCAGAACCTGAAGCCTTCACCTGGATAAGTGCTACCTGAGTAAAATACCTGGACCATATCAGTAACCACCCGCCCTCCAACAACTGATAATGATCACATTTAAACATTCTCTGCATCTTGTATATACACTTCTCCAACTTGGGGAGGGGAAGGGAAAAAACAAAATGCTTAAATAGGGATACAGGTTGACCCATGGTAACAATGATATGTACAAGACGCTATGTTGAAAAGGAACTTTACAATTTAGGTGGTTTGGGGGATGAGTATAGTTGTGGAGATGGGAGGGAAGGGATGGTAGGGGAAAAACAAATGAGGGAGGAGGTAACAATACTTGATAGCAAATGTACTCATTACCTTGCTCATGTAACTGTAACCCCTCTGTACAGTATTTTCACAATAAAAAAGTATTAAAAATCAAAAAATATAATTCTATTTTTAAAGCAGAAGCGATAAGATCCTATGTACAGTTAATCTTTAATCCTTGGAAGCCCTTACATTGACATACTATTTCACATATGGCTTCTCCATTCCATAGATAAAGACAAACTTCTGAAAACCTACCTATCACTAGAAAATACCAAACTCCCCTGAGAAGGAAGAATAATTTGTGAATTTTGATATTTTCTTGTATTATACATGAAAGGAGCTAATACCTGGTTTTGAACACTGAAAATAATGTACACGAAACTATAATCAAGATTACCAGCTGATTTCAATTTCCTTTTTAGATCATTTTTCCTATATGGTTGTTTATAAAATCTGGCTGCTGTACTAGTTCTGCATGCTGCCAGTATCCTTGTGTGAGCTCAGCTATCTGTTAGTTGGCATTCTGTCAGCAACAAGGTGAGGTGAGAAAGACAGGCCTTGGTAACGCATTTCCCGCTACAGAGCCAGCAATGACCGTGTGGGATGCCTAATTTTTGGGAGGCAGTAACTCATGTTGAGAAGGTCTTTCCAGTCTAAGCAAGATAGATTTAATTATCCTGAAGCCACAAGTTTAAAATAATTATCAAAAAATTACACTTTTTTCAGTACACCCATTTCTCCTCCTCCCCTAGGTACTGGGATTGATCCCAGGGCCTAACATTTGCTAGGCAAGTGCTTGCCACTTCAGCGATGGCCACATACTTTTTTTTTTTTTGATATTTTGTTGAGATAGGGTTTCACCAACTTTTGATCTCACTGAATTTTGTCTGGGCTGACCTTGAACTCAAGATCCTTCTGCCTCTGCCTCCAGAGAAGCTAGGATCACAGGTATGAGCTACCATAACTAGCCAGAGGCTGTTTATTTTTCTTTTCTTTTTCTGGTGACATGGTCTTTTTCTTTTTTAGGGCCAGGGTCTTGCTAGGCAAGTGCTCTTCCAACCTCATGAACATTTATTTTTGAAATGAAAATTCAAATGGAAACCCTAAATAACAACTAATTCTAAAGAAATCTCTGGCTTTCCCTTCCAGGAGGCCTTAGCATCCTATCATTGCCACAGCAGATTCTGGGAAGTTGCTTTGTGGAGGGAGAATATGACATCATTTTAATATCTCTGTTTGAACCAAGGCATAGGAGTAAAGAGTAAGCAGTGACAGTCATACTTGCTGAAAAGCTGAATGATATCACTAATGCTTCAGCATGAACATGATTTCAGAAGTGAACTAAAAGCCATAACCAAACAGCAATAATCCCCTTCTTGAATGATCTCCCTATCCCACTTTCATCTTACTGACTTTTTGTTAAGGCAAGTAAGGTTTTGAATATGTATTTGTCCTGATTCATTAGTAAAAGGCCTTAACAACATTGAAATTCAGCATAAAGGGCAAACAGATATTCAAAGAACCTCCCCCACCTCAATCACCTGCAGCAGTATCCTACCTAGCACTGGCCCCTCTTTAACTGGAGGCTGAGTGGTATATTGCCTTTTACCCAGCTCTTGGGGGAAAAGAACAAAGAACTTACTCCTTTTTTCCTTCTCATTTCTTCCATATAGGACAGGAAGGTGGTACTGGCCATCTCCATAGGCCATGTGGATGTCAGGTTGTGGTGTCCTGGAGGGCCCTGTCCTGGAAGAGCTCTTCTAGCAAGCTATGGCTAGCCATTTCTGGGTAGTGGGTCCTGAGAGGAGCCCCACAAAGTGCCACAGAGCTCTCTGGGGCTCTGGGACAGGAAGACTGTCCTATAATCAGAGGTCTACCCTTATCTAAGTGGCAGAGTATTACTGAGGTCACAACCATGGGCATCAGGAGGGTGCCATCCAGCGCAGGGATCACTGCTGGTGAAATATGGCTGTGGACGCTACCCTTCCTCTTTCAAATGATGCTAACAAAATGGTTCAGAACTAAAGTATATACCTTGAAGTAAAAGAAGGTAAATATGAAACATGCCTCTCAGAGAATCATAAATTAAATAAGACATTGTCGATTGACTAAGGCATGTTGCTATAACTTGCCACTAACAACTGATTAACAGTCAGTAAGGCTCTGCTAAAGGATGCCACAAAACAGCCACCACAGTTATTTTAGAAAAGACAAATATACTCACCCACAGGGTAACACAGAGGTCCCTGGGGATCTTGCAGTAATCAGCAGGTCTATAAACAAGTATGTTTCTAGGATGGCCTTATACTGCAAAATTTAAACTGTATGACATTTGTCATTTGTTGTCAACTGCTTCTCTGACTCCTAGAACCTGTACCCTAGGTGGTTCCACAGAGTAAGAACTGCAAGGCTAGAAGAGAGAATGGAGAGACCAGATTCTGCAGTGAACTGTGTTTATGTGTACAAGGGCGAAGATTCTGGAAACACAAGCTTTTCTAACTCACTCCAGTTTTTTAGACTGGTAAAAAAAAATCCATTGCACAAAATACAATAGATGGGGGAACTAGCTGAAGGGCAACAAAATAGAAGTACAAGGTATCATAAACCGGAAGACAGAGAAGCCACTGCATTTCCTCTCAGGATGTGGGGAACATTCCCTCACCACACTTTCTGTGGCTCTCTTTATAATTACCCTCTGCCACGTATGAATGCTAAAATCTCAAGTCATCCTGTTTTAGGACATTGTAACACAGCAGAAGTGAAAGTGAGCCTTTCTCTCTCACAGCTCTACCTGACACAACCACTCACAAGTTAGGCCTCCTTTGTTTAATTTTTTTCATATTTTTGGTTGATTATTATTAATAATACTTGATTAGTAAAAGATAAAAGATGTCTGGATTTTAACCTGAAATTACGTAATTTTAAATGAAAAATGTTATTTCAAGAAAAATAAATGCATGTAACTTTAACAGCCTTTTGTTACTATGTGCACTAATTCCTGGAAGCCATTTAATAATCCAGTCAAGAGTAAATCTGAAGCCACATGCAACATGTTATCATTATGTGCTCCTGACATTGTACAATGTGTTACTGTATTCACAGCTGTATCATCCCCAATTAGAAATAATAAACATAAGCAAGGAGATGTTATAATGCCACAAACTGTTTGCTACAATAATCCAAGGACTATGCTTTAAAATGAAAGCAGAACGTACATGTCCTATTAAATAGGTTTGTCAAGAGAAGCCAGTTATAAAGCATCTATCTTTTTCTTTTCTTTTTTCTTCAAAAGGAAAGGAAAGGTTACCAATACACTTAAAGAACAGTACCAAATATACAAATTCTTTTCAGACAGAATCCCTTTCTCTTGGAAACAGGGCACATGAGATGTACAGGAAATAATAATAAATAGTTTTACATAAAAAGGCCAGAGATTTGGTACAAGTAATTCCAGGCCAGTTAAATAATGCAGTAACAGGGCACCGT